AGTCAGATCTATAAATGGAGTTTAAAAAGAAACCTGGGATTTGGAAAGCAGTCCTGTTCTGCCCTGGTTATGTGTCTGTTTTTAGTAGAGTGTCATGGGAATGTTGTATCTCCCAAGAAGTTAGGATATGCTTGAGACATTGTAAGAGATGATGCTGATTTAAAAGTTGAAGTTGAGAGGTCTCTATCTAGCCCTTTTCTGAGTAGCTATTTACCTTGTCTCTGAAGTATCAAGTTCAGTTACCTAGGATGAAGGGAGGTGGAAAGTATGTAGACACTGGAGGCAAAAATTTGTATTCTGTATCTGCCAGGTATTATTTAGCGATCCACTGTAGTCTTTGATTTCTTAAGCACGTTGCTTAAAGATATTTGTTGTTAAGTGCCTTCAAGTTGGCTTCGACTGATAGCGACCCTGTATAGGGTCTCTGATGAGCCGCTGGTGGATTTGAACTGCCAACCTTGCAGTTGCAGTTCAGACTAACCTTGTGGGCCATTGCAGTATCCTGCTACACCACACCAGGACTCCTAAAGATATTTACTCTGTTATTAAGTGACGTTGAGTTGGTTCCTACTCATAGCGACCCTCTACAGGGTTTCTGAAGATCAGCTGGTGAGTTTGAACCGTGGATCTTGCGATTCAAACCAATCCTGTGGTCCAGTGCATGATCCCACAGCCCCACACCAGGATTCTAATGAGTGAGCGTTTAAGTAAATACCTTATCTCAAATTTGCATACCATTTAAAAAATATTTAGATGTGCTCATAAAATATCATTGCTACATTTTAAAAAACACCCAGTGCTTTCTTTCTTCACTGTTAGCCTTGGCTTCCTTGATGTCAAAGAAGTTAGTGAGATTTCTAGAACTATAGAACAGTAGCAATTTTTTCAGGTGGGTAACTGCTCAGTTTCAAATATCTGGTATTATGTAGTTATCTGGAATAGTAGAAGGGTTGATCATTTCAAGGGTTCTGTGAGGTCCTCCTTTGCGTGAGCTAGGTTTCCAGCATATACTTCAACCAATACAACCTGTTGTAACAGATTGTAAGGAGAGTCATATATGAAAATCCAGCTGTCTCCTAAGCCAAATGTTGTAGATATTTGCAAAAATACAAAGCTGACACTCTTTACACTATATCTCCATTGGAAAACAGTGTGTTTTTAAACAAAAAATTATAAAAAAATAGGGATGGTTGTATGTTAATGGTTTTGACAAGTAATTTTTTTTTAGTTCTCAGTTTTAAATACTTTTACTAAATATTGAGAGCTATAGCCCATATAGATAAGCCTCTTAGGATTCTAATAATATTTAGGAGTATCAAGAGCTCTTGAGGCCAAAAAATATGAAAATCATCAAAGGAAGGCACCCCTGAACTACTGAATTGTTTACCTTTACCAACCCTTCCTTTCTAACTCACATCTGAAAACTCCTTAGCCCTCAAATACTAGAACATGGGGTTTGAGAGTTTACTATCAAAACATTTTTTCTTTTTAATATATCTTGAAATTAGAAATAGAGCCATGAGATTTCAAATTGGGACTTAGAATATTGATTTTTTTTTTTTTTTTTACTTCCAAAGATAAATAAAGCATGATCAAGAAATACATTCCGAGCACGCCCCTCCTTTCAGCATTCTCTTCCCTTTTGGGTTTACTGTGTTTAGTAATTTGAACTGGTGAGCAGACACTGAACAAAATGGCAGCCACGAAGTGATAGTGATGTTTTCTGCCAGTGATTTTTTTGGGCAGATTTTGAGCTATTTAAAAACAGTAGATTAGCTTGGAGTGTGAATTTATAACTCATTTCGTTGTTCTATTTATGAGCATAAATTAGAGTTGTAATTTTGCTTGGCTGATATAGTAAAATAACAATCCTTTTAAAGTTATTTTAGGGCAGGGGCTTTTGTTGGATTTGCGTCTTGGAAGAAATACCAGTGGTGGTTGTTTCTTTGCTTTCCTGTATTTGTAAATAGTGAATGAATTCTTGATTTGAGACTTGTTAACTTCCCCAATGTTTACTTTACCTGAAATACAGATTAAGGTTACAGTGATGACAGAGGCCTTAATTTAACCAATCCTTAACAGGTGTGTGTATGTGTGTGTCTATGTGGTTCTGATTCTTTACAATTTAAACTTAAATTGAGCTGATTAAACAGAGAAATTTTAATTCAACAATTATTTATTTCTTCAAACTTTTTATTGTGAATTAAGTGATGGTTAAAGATCATCAGTTTTACATCCAGTAAATCAAATACTTTGTTTAATCTCAATGATTGCAATCCCCTACATGTAACAACAGTTGTTCAATATTTCCTCCCTGTGGCTCCTATTTCCATTCCACTGAGGTTAAAAGCCCACCAGCCACTCCTCAGAAACCCTATACAGGGTTGCTATGAGTCAGAGCCGACTCCACAGCACTTAAAAACGACTCCTTCAGCCTTTCTGAAGTTTGTCCTTAGGTAACTTTTGACCTTTTGATCTTGAATGGTTGACCATTGCTTGGAGAGCATTAGTGTTGTTGACCTCCCATATACCTATCTACTGCTTAGCTGAAAATTGGGCCATGTCGGTGAGTTCCGTTACAGACCTGAAGCCTGGCCAAGGGTCAGTCTCAGCTTCCTCCAGTCTCTTTTTGACCAGTAAGCCTGGTCTTTTTTTTTTTTTTTTTTTAATAGAATTTTGAGCTTCATGTCACATTTTCTTCCACTTATCTGGGACCTTCTAATGAGATCCCTTCTAGAGCAGTTAGTTGATAGTGGTAGCCTGGCACCATCTAGTCTCAGAGTCATGGTGACTGATGATCACATGTTCCATGGGTCCATTGAAGTAGTTGATTCCAAGCATCTTCAGTTTTCATCTCTCTTCTTCCTTTTGCACATGGAGAGACCAATAGTTGCACCTTAGATGGCCCTCATGAGCTTTTAAGATTCCGGTTGCTACTCATTAAAGTAGGATGTAGAACATTGTCCTTATGGACTATATTTATGCTAATTGACTATGGTGTCCTCTGAGACTGTGGTCCTGGGCCCCCAGGCCCAGCACTGACTGACTTTGAAGATACTTGGTAATGTCTCAGAAGTTTTCATCATTTTACCCTCCATATGTGTGCTTCACCACTTTCATAGGTGTGTTTGCAGCAGAGGTAAAACATGTACAGATATCCTCTGTTAAATCCTTGTGTATTTGTGGATATACTTCCACTCTCCTTCTCATACCTGTTCAGCCTGCGTATCTGTCCATGTGTCGACCAGTAAAAACAGTGTCATTGCAGAGCTGTGTATATAACAGTATTTTCCTCTATCCCCTTTAACTCTTGCCTTAATCCCTGTCTCTTCTCCTGTCTTCATCATTCTCCTACTAACCTCCCTTTTTCTTGTTTATTGCTTTCACTGTCACCCAGGTTAACGTGTGTCTACCCTTTAGCCATTGAATCACACTCCCTTCCCACCCACCCCTGCAAACTCAAAGAATGTTTCTTTTAGCATGAAAATCTTTTGCGTTTTTTTCAGTAGTGGCTTTGTATAACATTTGCCCTTTTGTGATTGACTAATTTCACTCAGCATGACTGAAGTCCTCCAGGCTCATCCATGTTATGAGGCTCTTCACAGATTTTAATTCAGGAATTTTTTAATGTGCGCCTACGTGTACCTATTTGGCTCTGGTAGTGATAGAAAGAGAGACTATATGTAACTCCTCCAATCATGGAATTTATTTAGAGGGAGACATATTTTGTTTTTGTTTTTAAAGCTACAAAACATTTGCTCTTTCAACATATTCTGTATATGCAGTTAGGTGGCATTTAATGCATTTATCATGTTATATAACAATAGCCACTGTGTGTTCTTAATTTTTCTGTCACCTTAACATAAACTCTGTTCCCCTTAAGAGTGTTAGCTTTTGACTTCAGGCGTGTGGGGGTGGGGGGAAGGAAGGGGCACTGTATGATGATGTAAGTAGCCCTGGTGTTGACAAGCAATGAACTAATGACAAGGTCGGAAGCTCAGACCACTCATAGGGAGAAAGATGAGACTTTCTGTTCCCATAAAGATTTACAGCCTGAAAATCCTGTACAGGAATGTTATGAGTCAGAATTGACTTGATGGTAGTGGGGCGGGTATAATGATATAGGTAGCTCTACCCCCAATTATAAGGAGCTCTGGTAGCGTAGTGGTTACGAATCGGGCTGCGAACCGCAAGGCCAGCAGTTCGTAACTACCAGCTGTTCTGCGGGAGAAAGGTGAGGTTTTCTGCTCCCGTAAAGATTTACAGCCTCAGAAACCCCGTACAGGGTCGCTATGAGTCGGAACTAACTCCATGACACATAACCCCCTTGCCCCCCAATTATAAAGAGCTCTGGTAGAGTAGTGGTTATGAGTCAGGTTGCTAACCTCAAGGTCAGCAATTCAAAACTACCAACTGTTCTGTGGGAGAAAGATGAGGCTTTCTGCTCCTGTAAAGATTTACAGACTCGGAAACCCTGTACAGGGTCGTATGAGTTAGAAGCGACTCCATGGCACATCACCACCACCACCCCAGTTATGTTAAAGGTTTAATCAATGTAGTAAATATATATTATTTGAATTACTTGGATACTTAACCTTTAACATCATATTAAAGCAATCTATTCACACTTGTCAGCATTTTTAGTTAGTACCAATTTTGTATTTGATAGGGTAGGATGAAGGTCAGAGTAAAATCCTGTGGAGATTCTTAACCTTATATCTGATACTGTTTTCATTTCCTGTTCTTTATAAGGGAATACACTCACAGTAGCCTTAACATGGACACCAAGAGGAGGTGCACCTAACTTGTCATTAAGATAACTTTGCTTAGATCCATGTGAAAAGTCTATGTTCAAAGAATTAAGGTATAATATATATGAGGGGAATTGTAGGAAGGATGTTGAATAGGAATTTGAAGATTGCGGTGTGCTTAATTTGTCATCCTGCAGTTAAAATATTTTGTTTTACTAAAATCTTTTCTTTTCCCTCCACAGTTGTACAATGGTAAATGGAGTGATGATTCTTCCTGTGCTAATAATGATTGCGTTCCCTTACCCTAGCATGGAAGGTAAGTGACTCACAGCTACTTGGTGAAGTATAAATACATTGTGTACTGCTTGGCTTTCTGTAAGCCAAATCGGTCATATTCAATACCCCCTCTTTATAGGTAATATTTGGTGATGCTCTTTGAACGAGTACTGTTGGTGCACTGGGTTAGTAACTGACTGCTAATTGAGAGATTGGCAGTGCAAATCCATTAGTTACTCCACAGGGTTAAGGTGTGCAGTCTGCTTCTGTGTGGCCTTGGAAAACTATTGACACCAGTTGTATGAGGAAACTTCAGAAAGTTCATAGAAATATAGAATTGAAATATAGTAGAATTTTTCCACAAATTTTTTAAAGTCCCCTCATACTTTGTCTTCTAGGTTGCTATGAGTCAAAATCAACTCAAAAGAAAGGGGATTGCCTTTTTTTTTTTTTTAATGTTTATTGCCCCTTGGCATGAAGCTGGGTGGGCTTGATGGCAAGGAAGACTGTAGAAGAATTGATGCTTTTGAGTTATGGTGTTGGAGAAGAATATTGAAAGTGCCGTGGGCTGCCAAAAGAACCAACAGATCTGTGTTGGAAGAAGTGCAGCCAGAGTGTTCTTGGGAAGCCAGGATGGCCAAACTTTGTCACTCATACTTAGGACATATTGTCATGAGGGACCAACCGCTGGAGAAGAATATCATGTTTGGTAAGGTGGAGGGTCAGAGAAAAAGAGGAAGACCCTCCAGTGAGATGGATTGGCAAAGTGACAGCATCAGTGGGTTCAATTGTGGCAACAATTGTGAGGTTGGCCCAGGATCGGGCAGTGTTTCATTCTGTTGTACATAGATAGGGTGGCTATGAGTTGGTACCGACTCGATGGCACCTAACAACAACAACAATAACTGCAAAGCCCCTTGACTATTTTGAAGTGAAATTCTTTATCTAGGAAAGGTACAGTATATTACAATTTGAAATATATATATATAGATAATGCCATAGCTGAGATAAATACAATGGGAAATACAGAGAATATTCTGTAATCAACAGTAAAATTATATATTAAAAATGAAGTACATTTTAAGGGAGTTAGACATGAGTCTGTAGAACAGCATCTTCAACTCAAAGAATATAAACTAGGGTCTAGGAGCAAACATTCCACAATAAGATATAAGTCACAAGAATCAAATTTTAAACTGGACTATGGGTAATTTTCCCTTCCTGTTAGGATAAGCAAGGAGCTCTGGTAGCATAGTGGTTATGAGTCTGGTTGCTAATCTCGTGGTCAGCAGTTCGAAACTACTAGCAGTTCCTTGGGAGCAAGATGAGGCTTTCTGCTCCTACAAAGATTTACAGCCTTGGAAACCCTGTAAGGGGACGTTATGAGTTAGAAAGAACTCGACGGCACTTAACAACATCTATGTCAATATGTATGTATAAATAAAATTTCAAAGGGCAGCTTGAGAAGACAATGTCAAGTATTATAATTAAATGTGCCAATTTTTTTTGGAGTTAGAAAACCAAAAGGGAAGAACACACTTAGCATTTCTCAAGTTGAAAGAACTAAAGAAAAATTTAAGTCTCAACTTGCTGGATTCTATGGGCAAAATACTGAATGATGCAGAAAGTATCAAAAGAAGATGAAAGTAATATACAGAGTCACTATAGCAAAAAGAAATGGTTGATGTTCAGTCAATTCAACAGGAAGCATATGATCAAGAGCCATTGATACTGAAGGAAGAAATCCAATGTTCACTGAAGGCATTGTAAAGAACAAGGCTCTAGTAACTGAGTGAAGTCTTCCAACAAACTGATGCAGTACTGGAGGCACTCAATCATTTGTGCTAAGAAATTTAGAAGACAGCTACCTGTCCAACTGGCTTGAAGAGAGAAATCCATATTTGTGCCCGTTTTGAAGATATATGACCCAACAGAATGCAAAAATAATCCAACAGTATCGTTAATATTATATGCAAGTAAAATTTTCCTAGAGATAATTTTAAAATGGTTGCAACAGTATTGACAGAGAACTGCTAGAGGTTCAAGCCAGATTCAACGAAAGATAGAGAACAAGGGATAGTCTTTTTGGCATCAGATGGATCTTCACTGAAAGCAGAGTATACCAGAAACATTTTTACCTGTGCTTCATTAACTGCACAAAGGCTTCCGACTATGTGGATCATGACAAACTATGGACAACATTGTGGAGAATAAGTATTCCGGAACACTTAATTGTTCTCATGTGCTTGTAGGCAGTCATTTGAACAGAAAAAGGGAATATTGAATGGTTTAAAATTAGGAAAGGTGTGCACCAGGGTTGTATCCTTTCACCATGCAGTGATTCTGGAAGCTATGTCACAATTATTTAAAACACCAGCAGGTTCACCTGTGGTGGATAGGTTTCAGCGGAGCTTCCAGATTTACTAGGAAGAAGGAACGGCTGACTACTTCTGAAAGATTACCCACTGCCAACTTTAGGAATACCAGTGGAACAAAGTTAGATACAGTGCTGTAAGATAAGCCCTTCAGGTTGAAGGCAATCAGAATACAAGTGGGGAAGCGCTACATGGAACAAAGCTTTCAGGACCTTCATTTGCTGTTGGGCACTATTCAAAATGAAGAGAAATTGTAGCAAATTTCCATTAATAATTGGAACCTGGAATGTATTAAGTATTTGTTGTTGTTGTTAAGCATCGTTGAGTCGGTTCTGACCCATAGCGAGCCTGCATAAGGTTTCCAAGGAGTGACTGGTGAGCTAGAACTGCCGACCTTGAGCTTCAAATTGACTTTGCAGTGTAACGCATTAACCCACAGCGCTACACCAAGACACGCTGTATGAAGTATAAACCTCAGATAAATCTAAGTTGTCAATAATTAAGTGGAGTGTATAAAGATCGATATCCTAGGCATTAGTGAACTGAAATGTACTGGTATTGACCATTTTGAATCTGTTGGTTATATGGTTTACTCTTCTGGGATTGACAAATTGAAGAGGAATGGTATCAGTTTCACTATATCTTGAAGTGCAATCCTTTCTGTAATAGGATAATACACATATGCCTTCAGAGAAGACCAATTAATATCATTATTATTCAAATTCACAACCATCCATTAAAGCCAGTGATGATGTAATTGAAGAATGTTACTGCTTACTCAGTCTGAAATTGATCATACATTGCAGTCAAGATACATTGATAATTATTGTTGATTGGAAAATGAAAGTTGGAAACAAAGAAGGATCAGTAGGAAAATATGCCTTTGTCAGTAGATAGGATGCTGGAGATGGCATGATGGAATTTTGAAAGACCAACAAATTATTCATTGCAAATGCTGCTTTTCAGCAACATAAATGGCAACTGTCTACATGGACCTCACCAGATGGAATACAGAGATATCAAATTGATTACATCTGTGTGAAGAGATAGCAGAGAAGCATTAATATCACAGCCAAAACAAGGCTTGGGGTCAGCTGTTTAACCTGCATCAATTGCTCATGTGCAAGTTCACGTTGGAGATAAAATAAAAACAAGTCCATGAGAACCAAATATGACCTTTAGTATGCTGTTGTACCAAGTTGGCTCCAACGCATAGTAACATAGTAACACTTTATAGGGTTTCCGAGGAGCAGCTGGTGAGTTTGGACCACTGGTCTCATGGTTAGCCCAGTGCTTATCCTATAGCTTTACCCCAAGGCTCCATCCTTTAGTATATCACACATGAATTTAGAGAGCATTGCAAGAACAGTGATGTACTGTATTGGACAAATCTGTTGCAACAGACTTCTTAAAGTGCCCAAAACCAAAGATAATCAGTTTGAGGGCTAAGGTGTGCCTGACCCAAGCCATGGTATTTTTAATTGCCTCATATGCGTGTGTAAGTTAGACAAAGAATATGGAAAACTGTGAAAGAATTGGTGCACTTGAATTATGATGCTGACAAAGAATATTGAAAGTACCCTGCCATAAGAACAAACAAATCTCTCTTGGAAGAAGTGTCCGCCAGAATGTTTCTTAGAAGCAAGAATGGCAAGACTTTGTCTCATGTGTTTTAGACATGTTGTCAGCAGAGACCTGTCCTTGGAGAAGGACATCAGACTTGGTAAAAGAGCCCTCCTCCCCCAAGGAGATTGACTGACACAGTGGAAGCAACAGTGTGCTCAGAGAAAAGCAATAATAAAACAACCGTGGTGAGATTCATGCAGGGCCAGGCAGTGTTTTGTTCTGTTGTGTATCAGGTTACACTGAGTGGGAACTGACTTGATGGCACCTAACAACAACAACACCACAGTGTCATATATACACTGGATTTCAAATATCTATTGCATCCTGCCCCACGCATTTATCCCTGACAATTTAGCAGTACATAATGTAGCTCACTTTAGTTTTCGGTTGGACAGCACTGGAGTCTTGGTGTGCTGTTGTGGGAAAAGCACTGGGCCCACAAGATTGGTTTCATCTGCAGGGTTGGCAGTTCAAATTTACCAGCTACTCCTCGGAAACTACACACAGGGTTGCTATGGGTCGGCTCCAACTTGACGGCACTTAACAGTAACAACAATGTAGCTCGCTTTATTTTTCTGTAGACAGCACAGGTACAGACCAATTCAGTTGTCAAGAATCAGATTCTACTCCAGTTGTGTGAGGAAGCTTCATAAAGTTTGTGAAAAAATTGTATTGTCTTTCAATTCCACATATCCACAAACTTCTTGAAGCCCACTGGTCTGTTGCTACTAACATTCCATTACACAGCAGTTACGGCAGTTCAAGTCAGGGGGCTTTAGGAGGGTATGGATCCTATGTGACCATTTTAAAGGAATAGGGGGCATTTTAACTAGAAAAAGGGGAAGATCTTAGCTTTAAGAACTATTAAGAAGAAATGGTGGTGGTGGTAATGTGCCGTGCAGTCCGTTCTGACTCATAGTGACCCTGTACAGGGTTTCCGAGACTGTAAATCTTTATGGGAGAAGAAAACCTCATCTTTCTCCCACAGAACAGTTTCAAACTTCTGGCCCTGAGGTTAGCAGCCCGATTCATAACCACT